CCCCCATGCCCAAAGTTTCGATCGGGCAAGGGCGGGCGGGAGATCGAAAATTCTGGGCGGCCCCCGCAGTTGCACACCGGACTACCCCGGTTTCTGATCACTGTGCTCAGGCCACACAGCTGCAACATCAAACGTTCTGAGTCCTGACATGTTTAAGTCCTAATTGCAAGTAAGCAGAACAACCCAACAAGGACTCCACAGATCCCTCTTTTCGCCCCTCCGGTTCCCTACGGTTCGACCCGCGGGATCTTACAGAGTCCAACCCTGAACACACAGAAAAGAACCTCGCACGAACCCTGCGCTCAACTTCTCCCCCTTTTTTCTTTTAAGAGGTGGTGGAAAGGTCGGCCAGCCTGTAAATACTTTACACTGACCACCTGGCTACAACCTACATAGCCAACATCAGCCGCACGCGCTGACAAACCCCATCAGCCAAGCGCTGACAAAAGGACCCCCACTCGCAGAGCAAGCGCACGGCAAACCCATGGCTACCCCGCACCTTTTTTACTGCCAAGGGTCAGTGGTCCGCAAAGAGGAATGCTTGGGACCCTTTGAAATGCCCTCGGCCTTCTTATGGGCTCAAGAATCACGCACTTCCTCATAGAGGTCCATTCCTGCGCGCATGAGATCTTGCAAAACCAAACCCTGGAACGACCGCAAATCAAATCTTAGTCGCAGTCTCTTATCGAAGCGACTGTAGTCGCCATTTGTGAGGGAGTCCGCCTCCTCGTTCTGCAGCCGTGGCAGCCAATGTAGTCTAAGCTCCGCTCCCCTGTCTTGAAGCTGCGCGGCAAGTTCCATCAGCAAGATGCACAGAGGGAATTTTGTGGTCAGAAGCCGCGACACGAGGTTGCTGTTTCCTCTGTTGTCGGTAGCGGCTGAGCAGTGGAATCCGCATGCCTCTCCGGGTGGTACACCAAACAACATCACCGCCGCTAGCGTTGCTAGAAGCTCCAGCGATGCGATTTGGCGATAAGCTTCGCCAGCCATGTACACCCAAGGCGCAGTAACATGGTCCAGCCGCTCGGAGAACCACCTGCACTGCTTGGTGTTCTCGCAATCTAGAGCCCAACCTGCGATCCAGACTTCGTTGCCCTCGGCTTTTGCATCAGTTCTGAAGAGCTCCTTTTCGACGGCGTGCGCCTTCCCAGCAGAAGTTAGCCTGCCGCCTCCACCTAACGCCTTCGCCAGGAACTTGAAGATCAAGGAGATCGCTCGGGGCACTTTGTAGGCATGACGATGGTCCAAGGAGGCTACCCACGCGTAAACTGGCCCCAAGAAAGGTCTGAGATGCCCAAGTGCAGTTAGCGCGAAAGACAACCGCCCCAGCACCGCACTGACATCCGCAATCTTGACATAGTCTGCAGCCGTTGTTTTTGTGAGCCATTGTATAAGCCACTGGGCACGCTGCACAGACAGTCCGAGCTTGCTTTCTCTCAGATTTAATTCAAGCCCTACCCAACAGAACTCACCCCCTCCCTTGAACTTCCGCCAAGAAAAGGGCAATCCTAGTAACACAAAGAAAAAGATTACCAGGCACACCATCTGCACACTATCTTTGTCGTTGTGCGCCAGCCACAAGAGGTCATCTACATAGACAAGCATGAAGATCTCCCTTTTCCCAAGCAAGTAGAAAGCTGCACGGCCGAGTCCCGACATTAATCGTGACCAGTGGTATGCTGCGCTCGAAATTCCAAATGTACCCACTTTATTCAACCAGAGCTTGTCACTTCCACCAACACCAGTTTTGCACGCTTGCAACCCCCAGTCGGCCGCTGCGATCTTCACGAGCCTATGCGCACGCTCCACATCTCCAGTCAATCCAAAGCATTGCCCAGGTAGCTCTTGGAGCGCAGCGCGAAGCTCGCCAGCACCCGGTGAGCGTATTTGGTCACGCACCCGAATAGCAGAATTCACTGTGATCCCATTGGCGCCGTCGTGCGCGACTCGATACGTGCCATCCTTCTTTTCGAGCGCGCCCAAGGAAGCAACAGCTAGCTGCTTTCCAAATTGCGCTCGGGCCTCTGCCGTGGTCACCTCGACCATTGCACCCAGCGCTGCCTCCGCCTGGAACTGCTGTTGGACTTCGCCCGCGTGCTCCCTTGCAGACAAATAGTTTTCCCGCTCAGCTCCAGGCTCGCAGAACCCACTATCATATTTCCGCCACTTCTCCTTTTTCTCAAAGACCGAAGGCACCCGCGGTAAGCACACCCCAGGCCCCAGACGCACACCCTTTGCGAAAGACACACTGGAAGAAAAGAAAACTCTGCTGTCAGGATCGCCGGAAAGGCGGAGCAGCTCCTCCATCGCCGCCAGGTAAAAGGGCTGCCCCTCCGTCCGCTCCCTCACCGGGAGCTTGGCCCCGGCATATTCCAACGCAGTAAAAAGAAGCTCACGTCCTTCAGCCAACACTTCCGAACTGAACGGGTTGTCTGAGACCTTGCCCAGCGACAGCTTTGCAGCTAAGCTTACTAGGTCCACGTGCCGCACTAGGATCTTCAGGAGCTCCTTGCCAAGACTTTCGGCAAATCCCAGCGACGGCATGTCCCCGGCGCATCTCCGCCTGCTCGGACACCACCTTCCCGTGAGCACAAGCCGAAACCATCGCAAAATGGCACCCTTTTCCCAAACATTCTAGCGGTCAGCGGGGGCCCCCTGCCCCAGACTCCATCTCCCAGCTGTGGCTTGACGTGGCCATCTTCGTCCTCATCAGAACTGTCTTCAGCCACTTCCAAGCTACGCGGTTCCCACACGCCTTCACCAGTATGCTCCCAGCGCCAATCTTCAGCCTGAACTGTGTTCTGCCCGTCTGTAGAACTGTAGACTTCACGCAAACCAGCAGCTTCTTCACAGTCTTGTCTGCGACGCTTGGCAGTATCTTCCGAGATAGCCAGGCGCGGGGGAACATCCCCCACCGCAGGCGACGCCTGGCCGGGCTTGCCATCAGCAGATAGTCACTCATCGCGGAAGTCTCCCACACTTTTGCCCAGCTGCTTTGCATCGCGCTTGTAGCGGCACTCAAAGAAGGGGTGGCGGTGAAAGCACCGCTGGCAGACATGTTCAAATCGGCAATTCTTGCCGGCAGCGCAGCCACTTGGCTTGTTGAACTTGAAGCAGATCAATTTGCCTTCTGGCGTGCGGGCCGCTTTTCCCCATTGGCGCTCCCATGAAGGCATCTGCTTGCTTTTGCCACTGCCTTTGGAGCCCCTGCCTGCCGGATGGGGAGCAGGCGGCGGCGGAGCAGCAACCTCCTCTTCTCCTGGACAGCTTTGTTTCTTGCCGAGCGTCATAGGGATAATGAAATGCAAGTTCAACAGGTCGGTGGAGTCGATGGCTTTCTCAATGGCAGAATTCAAACAGGAACTCTTTCCATCGCGCACAAAACGGTAGGCAGCTTTACGTAGCTCAAGTTCATAGGTGAGTACCTGAGACCAAGTAGCAGTGCAGGCCATCCGCCGTCTTCACACCTGCCACGTGGGAGCCAAGCACATGGTCCGAGAGCAGTCGGAAGGTGTCCACGCAGGACTGTGGTAGCCAAGTTCTGGTCGAATGAGGAGTTCGCACAAAATCCCAGGCTAGCCCCAGTCTCCGGTGACGCAGCCGAAGCTCTTCAGGCGTCGCGGGAGGCGTGGTTGTGGCCTTTCCGGGGCGGATCCGCAGCGTCTGCGAGGCAGGGTCGATCACGGCCCCATATGCTTCTACATGCGCATCTTCCAGGGACGTCACTTCTCGCAAGTCCTCAGCAACCGGTGCGCCATCTTCCACTTGTTCCAGTTTGAGAGCTATCAGCGATTTGCTGGGCACTTCGCGATCTTTCAATGATCGCCCCTGTGCACACTCAACTGCCGCCCTCATTGCTGAATATTCTGTGTTCTGAACCAGGCGCTGTTGTACGCCCAGTTTGGCGTCCTGCGATTCTGCTCTTGGCATTTTAGCTGCATACGCGAGCTCTCCCACACGCACAGCAACTTAGAGATCTCCTTGCGCATCTCAATGTCGCCCATTGGGTCAAAGCCAAAAAAAATCGGCCTTGAACACTGCCCGCATTTCCTCCCCTGACTCTTCCAAGCCCCAGAAGATATGCAAGGAGGTAACCCCGGCATCATAAATCTTCTTCTGGACGGCTGCTGACACGCCCACCTCTTCCATCTGGAAGCGCAACTCCGAGTCAGCTTTTGAAAGATCCACCACTGCCATGGCTTTACGTGATCTTGGTCACTCACGGCAAACAATCCGACGCTTGCACACTTGCGAGCAATCAGGAAAAGGCTGCGGCGCGCAGGCATAGACCGCCTCACACAGTCGAAATCTCTCCGACCTAGATCAGCTTCATATGCCTAATGCGCACACGCACACACACACAGATGCAAGGCCATGCCCAAAGACACGTGACACTCATCTGCCTGCCCGCCCTGAGCTGGCTCTGGCTTCATGTGCCCTAGATGCACACATAAACATTCACTGCGACCACCTCGCACACCACATGCGACCCTCTCGCACAAACGGGTGACACAAAATCCCTAACCCTCAGACTTCAGGAAGTCGCCCATTACTCGGCTGCTTGGAGCTCTATCAAGCTTGCCGGAGAGTTGTCCGACTCACTGGAACTGCTCGAGTCATCTGCTTCCTCGGCTTCGGAAAGAGTCACATTACCTGCTTTCCGACAATGCCGACAAGCAAGATCATAAGCTGTGCCACGCAGACGCCACACAGGCTCGGATTCTTGAACTTCTATGGAGCTCACTCCGCAGCCGCCAAAACGATGTGGACGAGGAAGCTTCTTCTTGCGACAACGGTCACGAAGTAAGGCGCAGACTCTGCTTCCAGATCCTTATCCTCGTCCAGCACAGGCTCCCCCGCAGCTGCCAGAACTTCCACGACAGGCTCTGGAGCTCGCGCGCACCAAGCTGACCCAAGGTGCAACTGCTGGCATAACACGTCTGCTTGCTCAGTAGGGACCTCCCTGTCAGTTAGATAAGCATGCAGTTCATCCAGCCCTACATTGCGCAGATCCCACACATCGTCGCCACAAACTGTTTTCATGAGTTGTTCCTGCATTCCTGTATCACACGTTTCGCAGTACGAAGGTACTTATCTGCGGAGGAAGCTATGCGCCAACGACCGACATAATTGCGCAAGCTGACCTCTGGCAGTGGCAGCAGTGGCTGATCTGACAGATGCCAGGAGGAGCCCTGCTTCATGGGCAAACGCAGGTTGCGGAACAATTGCTGGCTCAGACCAACAGTATCCGCACAGTCAGCCATGACCCGTCTAGTTCCAGACCAGTCCGCATCAGGCATCGGCAAAAAATTTTCTCGTTCAAAAGACCACACACGCATGCCTGTTTCCAGCCAGTCAGAAGCCATGAACCCACAGAAGCACTCACATGTATAGGAAGATGTCGCACACGCTTGCCGGGACCCGTGGTTTTGGTTCTCTCAAGAAGGCCTTGCAAGCCAAACCTGGTGAGGCTCAATGAGGACGGGTTCAGGCAGCTCAGATCATTGGTTCTGCATGCTGTCCACATCAGGAGCTTGTAGAACGCATATCCTCGAGCAAACAAGGGCGCAGACTCGTCTACCACCAGCAACTCCAAAGCTCCAACCAACATTAGCGGTATCAGAGGAGCTTTCTTCGTCGGGGAGGCCGCCCCGATCTCAAGGTCGTGAGTCGCCTGATTGACGCAGTTCTTCAAGAGCTGTAAGTCAGCTGGGCGTTCGCCGGCGCCGTAGCCCTCTGTCCTTTCCATGAAGGCCAATGCCTCCAGAATAGCACTTACAGACACCAGGGTACAGGAACAGCCCAAGCAGTGGAAGGGAAACCACAGAAAACAAAGGAAAAAGATGTCGATGCTCTCACCTTTATGCAAACTGTCATTTTGTCCTTTGTTAGGGGAATGGAGCATGGCGAGCAGACGCTACCCACCAATGACCTCTTTGTCTATCTCCCAGTACAGATCCTGCCCGACCTGGTTGTAGCCATGGAGCGGCAGGACTTCACGGCTGCGGAAGTGAAAGGGGGCTACGGTTACCGACCCAAAGAAGAAGGAGCTGAAGACAACCCTCTGCTCGTGGTAGGAGTGCACACTGAAGAAATTGCTTACGACCGATACTCCCGAATGCCGGATACTTCCTGGACTGAAAGAGCTTACTCCAGTGGTGCCCTTGACCCGTCTTTGGGACAAGCTTTCTCGCTCCCTTCCCTTCTGCAGCTGAGGCTGCGCATCGAAGTCCCCTTGTGGAGAGACCTGGCGACTGCCAGACACCCCGCTGGAACATTTGTGTGCCTTTGCGATCCAACAGGAACGCATCTGCACAATTACCGAAAAGCCGTGGACACATAGTTTTGTTGAGCCAGGATGTGCCTTATGGCGACTTTCCCACCTTTTGTTAGCAGCAGAGAACCAAGTATGCAAAGAACCCCTTGCCAATGTCTGTCATCTCGTGTTAGGAAATTTTCCAGTCATTCTTATTGGGGGTTTCTTTCAGGATTGGTGCCTTAGCATCTGTCCTGACAGTGCACGCGCAGCTCACCCACAACTCCAAGAAAATATCTGGCGAACGGATAGAACACCCAATCTCTGTCTACTACTCATCCACCAACTTGAAGCCCCGGATGTCAGTAACAATGAGCGCTGATTTCCCTGACGCCTACACCACACGCCCCACATCCAACTCTCCCTGCGATCAGTGCAACAGAACAAGCTGCTGCTCAAATCCCTACTGAGGCTTGCATCGATGATTGTCGGCTTATGACGTTAAAATCAGTTTGGTACGTATGCACACAAGGAGAGATTTCGGCAAAACTTTTCCACAGAGCTAAGGCTCAGTTACATGCTGAATGACGCGGTTATGTAATCTACCCATCAAATCTCTCCGGTTAGTGCAGCGTACCCTCTCTACAGGCCTCAAAGCAGCTTATTGGCATACTACCCAACAAACAAATGCTTCTATCACGCATGTTTCTTCCCTTCATTTCCTCATTCATTTTATCCATCCCTGTCTGCCATACCGGCAGATCATGATTGAGGATTTCCTCATGCTGTTTGGTTTTGATGGCAACGTCAATTTATCAGATGCCTTCCATTTTCTACGAGTTAACATTGGCAAGTTCACAGATTGTATCGTCGCTGACTCGTCCGCGCCCATAGGCGACACTCCTTTCGTTCTCCCAAATGAAGTTCAATCCTTACGCCAAATCCCGTCGAGGTTTTGGCAGCTCTGCCACAACATCCTACAATTCCGCATGCAGAGACCGAGTAACCTGCCGGTCTCTGTAAAAGGAATTCACTCTTGGAATCTCAATAGCTGGTCTCCTGGACTTCCCACCAATGTGCACAAGACTTGGATAGTCAAAACTATGTTGAAACAAGCCCCAGTACTGCTAACAAGAAACAAAATGGAATCAAGCTAATCTCCAGTACTTATCCCACACATGGCCTGATGTTAAGGTAGTTACTACTCTGGCCAAGCAGAATCCGGGGGAGCAAGCTGGAGTTGCAATCCTGTTTCCTCCAGGCTGGAAAGTTCAAGAAGAACGTGTTCTGGTCCAACACTATGCAGTTGCTGCCCGTGTGGAATACCAAGCCTGCACTATATGGCTTGTTTCGATTTATATACCTCCGAACAGTCCTAGAGCTTTTGTTTCAACTACTCTACAAACCATTCTTGCCTTGACCGATCATCCTGTCTTTGTAGGAGGAGACTTTAATCGATGTGATCAGAATCATTTTCCTACGTGGGATGACTTCCTTGTACAGGCTGGACTTACGGATGTTGATCCTACATTACCTACTTATAAATACCAAGATCAAGAATCTGCACTTGATCGCTTTTTAGTGCCCAGTCTGTTTCTTGATACTACACAACTTTTCGCTCGTATCTCGTATCTATGGCAGATACCGGATTGATACCTGCCATCACAAAGCCTTGATGCTTAGGCTGAAAACGAAACCACGCCTTCGACCACATCCACAGTCTGAAAAGCATCACACCATACCAACACAAGTTTTCTTGATCCAACTGTGGCATCGGAAAGTCCACAGGCAGTTACAAGACAAGCTTCCCTCCTAGCTCTCAAGCGAAAAATTTTATTAGCGCAGGAAACTAGGCTTGCTAGCGTTGTGCTCTCGCAGCATTGTCGTGCAATAGTTTGGAGCTGGTGGAGAACTCACTCTTGTCACTTCAAAAAATTGTCTCCTCTAAAACGCTTATATAAGCTTTTGGGCAAAGAACAAACGCACCTGCACATACGAATTGATGAAGTACGCCTGTTGTATGAGCAAAGTGCAGATGCTGACCTTTTACAACCATGGCCAAAACAGCAAGGATGCCTCTTGGTTCCAGCTACCATCATAGCTGCCGCTTTGCAAGCAGCAGAAGTTGCAACTGCGACGAATGTGCAACTGCCTATAGGTACAGACAACACAGACCCAATCCAGCGAACCAGAAGACAAAAAATTTTCTGGGACAGACTTAAAACAGTCTGCCCTAAGGGCACCTTCTATCATGGCCCATTGTTACAGCATAATGGGCAAGAATGCCGTACTGCCCTTGAGTATGACGAAGCAATGCTTGCGACCCGTGACTTTTGGTTCACACACCCTGTTAAGTATGATCGAGATTGGCACGACACGCTCTCGGCTTACCGACGGTGGGTCATGCCGTGGCCTGCAATTCCTGAACCCACAGAGCAAGACTACATTGAGCACCTCCTCCTTACGAAAGATTCGGCACCAGGCCCTGATGGGTTACCTTATGCTCTTTGGCGGATGTTCCCGCAGCAGACTGCTGCAATCCTTAAAGATGACTTTCATCACATCTTAGCTGGTGAACTGGCACCACCCACCCAGGTAGGCGTATGGATCCCGAAAGCCAAGCAAGGGCCCACGGCAGACTTCTTCCGACCGCTAGGTATGCCTGACACGCTTGACAGACTGCAAGATGGCACAGCTGCTGCTATTCTTTTCCGAATTACCCGGCGCAGCTTTCACCCTGCCCAAACCCTGCTTAACTCCTTTCGTGAGCCGCAGAGGGCTGTGCTGGAAGTACAAGGAGCCCTTGAGGGATCCTCACCTGCCTCTGCCCTCTTTGCTGATCTTTCCAAAGCTTTTGAGCGTATTAATGCACATTGGATCCTCCATATACTACGTATTCGTCAGTGCTGGGTCCTCCAGTTTGCGCGTTATCTACTATTTGGTAGAAGAATCAGACATAAAGTACAAGGACGACTCTTACCAGCAAGAAATGTGCATTCTGGTGTTGATATGGGACGCTCCACTTCTGTGTACTTCTTCTGCCTTGCCATGGACCCAATATTTGTTGTACTCAATCAAATTCCACAAGTCATTGTGGTTGCTGGGTATGTGGATGACACTACGATAGTTGGTCGACAGACGGACTCAAGGTGGGTTCAAGAGGTTTTTCAAAACATCCGGAAATGGAAGTCTGCAGGTATTGTCATGGACACGCATCATTGCTGGCAAGTAGGATTCTCCAGCAGAGCCCTTGACGAAGACACGCTGCACAAAGTTGAGGACGTCTGGAGTCACGTAACTCCCATCCACGAATCAGGTCAAGCCACTTGCAGTGCAGCGCTACAACAAGTCCCTGGTTATGCACGTCGCTTTGTCCTTAGACACGGTGACCACTGCATACATATGGCCTCAGAGTCCGTTCCCAGACTTGCAACTGAAGGGCACCCTATGCTCTGCCGATTGGCGGCTAGCCCATGCAAGTGTCGATCAAAAACGCAATTACTCACAAATGTCAGCTACACAGCTGAGCAGCTGTATTGCCTGGACCAAGCAGGATTAGGTGGCCAGTGCATTGCGCCGTCCACCGTCAATCTAGGACTCACAATCCACACAGGGTGGACGTGTCAACTCGCGAATGAGGCCATGGTCAAAATGCAGCTTCAGACATCTCTCATCACTTTGCTGTCAAAACAGCTTGTTAAATTCCGTACGAGGCTTGCAGCTGCCACTCGGGCCAACCTTAGCATTCATATGAAGATTATCTACTTCAATACCTGTTCTCTGAGTCTTTTCTACTACTCTC